TTTCTCAAACACATTATTATCACAGTACTATAATAATAATAGTGATCATCTATTACTAAACCACATACTCACATTCATTTTCAATGCATTGAAATAAATATTTAATTCAAAAAGTGTCAAAATATCTTAACGGTAAGCAACAGAAAACGTTATTGAGCAAAATTAAACAATTTTAAAAAATTAACCAAATTATCAGAGATTATTTATAATAACATACTGAAGCTTTAAATGAAAAAAGAAAACACTATATTTATATGTCAAAAAATTTTCAGAATTAATAAAAATGGCTGCTTTCCAAAATTACCTAGCAAAAAATCTCAAATAAATATTTAAAATATTCATAATCTCAATATCTATAATATAGAAATAATTACACGATGATTGCAAAAAAGACACCTTGCTATTCCAAAATCCTCACTTGTACTGACATATATCAATTTCTTAAGGATTTGCATAAATGCCTAAAAATTATGAAAAATAATTTCTCTTTCATGAATATAATATATATGTTATGGTGAAGATGATTTTTTATTTAAACTTATAATAACTCCTTAAAAATTTATTTAATTAGGATAAAATACATGCTATTACAACTCTCTTTAACTCCAAATGCATGTTTAGCACCTAATATTAGCCTCCTTCATGTGGAGAAGGGAGTCTATTTTTAGTTATGAAGAGTTATTTTAGTAATTTAGTCAAAATCTTCAAAACACTCTATTGGACATTGCATATTGATTCAATTAATGATAATTCACTCTTTCAATGTTTAATAGCCTTAATAATATCATAATTGAGTGATTTTGGGATCTGTCTTATTCCTTTTAGTGAGATACTCTTTTTTATTATATGCAAGCCATATTAAAAAAGATTACATTGAGATTTATGCTTAATCAATTTGTTTTTTATATGAAAAGAGAAACTATTTTTTCATACACAAATTTTTCATGTTATTTTATTTTTGCTTATTTTTCACACATACACAATTCAATTAAAATATAGCGACCATTTATCTTACACTTTTCATCTAAATTGTTACAAATTATGATGCAATTTTGAAAGCTTCAATATAACTAAGTCTGATGTTATCATAATTATAGTCAAAACTAGAGTCACATTAAGATAAAATTAAAAAGATCAAAATCACTCAATTTTGGGTTCTACTAAACATACAAATAACCAAAGAAAAAAATAATTTCTTAGGTCCTTCACTCAACACTCTTTGCCTCTTTCCTATCCACATATCATTGTATAATTGTTATCATTCTAGCTGATCGAATATATCTTCAAAAAGTTTTTCCATTAAAAAAATAATAATAACACTTTCGTCAAAAAACTGTCATTGCAAGCAGACATATTAGGCAAATGTATCGTGATGTCACGTTTCAATTTGCAAGCAATTTGTCCAGCAATTTTTTAAGATGTAAATCATAACAAATCATTCCATAGTATGCAAAGTATAGTCCTTTCATCCTATACAATATTTAAAAGGGGTGTCCATAAGTGAAACAATCAGAAAATCCAATCCAAACCTGATAAAAAAAAAATTCAGGTCGACCCGATAAAGAAACGGATTGGTATTGGGCCATATTTTTGGGCCCATTTATAATTTGGGTCGAGTCCATGTCAACCTGATAACCTGATTTCAACCCAAATTGAATTGTGTAACCCCAACACCCCCCCCCCCACACACAATCCTATTGTAGTGCTGCTCATGCACGTAACATTTTTGCCCTCGCCCTGCACTCATGCTCGAATGCTCAATGCACCCGCACGTGGTCCGCCTCGCCCACTTGCACATGCATGCACGCTCACACTTGCCCACACCTATGCACTCACCCTCTTGGGTGCTAACACCCGCAATCATGCTAGGCCGCCCTCGCCCCCAACACAGTCATGCAGCTCGCACTTGAGCTCTAGGAACAGAGTCCACAGGTCAGGTTGGATCAATCCGATAACTCAGTGGGTCGGGTCCAGGAATAAATTTCTGACCGATTTACATAACCTGGTCGTGTTCGATATGATTTAGCGGAAATGGACCCGTGTACGTCAATTCTAGGTTCGACCCGAACCTAATCCGAATACCCATTTTGACACCCCTAATATCAAACCTCACAATTTTATCCTTTTAATTTTATTTTAGATATCACTCATCCTAAAAAATACATCATTATGGGTGCACTTAATATATGAAGTTCTCAAGGGAAATTCATATAGTAGCATACCAAAAGGTGACATGCATTTTATGATTATAACTTTTTATTTATATAACTCAATATCTTTTCCTCATATCTCAATGTGGGGCATGCAATCTTCTAAGATATTAAAAGATTAATTCAAAGATATGCTTGATTTATAAGGAATTGATTACTAGTTGCTCTTTGTTAATTAATGTGCACTAATTTCATTTGTCTTCATGATAGTTATGGCTTTGAAATGTGCACTTTCAAATATACTGAAGAGACTTGACACGCTACACGAGAACTCATCTCAACTAGGTGACTGTTATAACTCAAAAATTTACAAATGATATTTTTTTAAGTATAGAAGTCAAAAATTATTTCGGAAATCATTATAAGTTCAAATCAAAACTATCTGTACCATAACTTATATATTATTGTATTTTAGTTTCACTAATTTTTTTTTTTTTAGCACTGATTAAACTCCTTAAAAAATTGGCACCTAATGGTAAACATTAAAGTTTTGAGACCATTAAGTGTCCGATTTGCAGACCGATTTTATCAAAAAAATTTAAATAACATGAACTATTTTATGGATATTTTTTATAATTTTTGAATCACAAAAAGAATTTCTATGAATTTATATTAAGAATTAACTATATATAACTATTATTATTATTATCATTATTATTATTATTAAAACCTCTTTTCCTGAGCATATCTCCATTAACAGAGAAAAAAAAAAGAAAAAAGTGAGAAAAGATAGGAGAGAGAAGAGGAAAAGCTAGAGTTTGATGATTGTAGAGATGTTTTTGTATGTCGGCCTGATTGGAAAATTTGTTAGTCTCAATGTAGGTTATGTTTTTCCTATTTCAGTTTTCAAAATTTTGATGTTTTTGAGATTTTTTTTAGCTTATGCTATAGTTTCAGTCTCAGTTTTCCATACAGTACTGTTACAGCACAATATATTCAACTCTTTTAGTTTCAATTATTATTTTTCATTTTATGATGCAATAGCCTACTGAGATGTCTTAGCTCATTCCTATTTTTATTAATGTTTTCAAGTCAATTGATAGATAACAAACAAGTTAAGTAGTTTTGGATAGCATACTCTGATATGTGTTGTAGGTATGTTTTTGTTACTTTAGATTTTTACAGGATTGGTTTTTATTTTATTATTCTCTTTGTTGTCAAGCATTGCTATAAATAGATTTCAGATTGTATATATTTTTTGATGTTACATAGAAAATCATTTTGAGTTTCAATAATCTTTCGCTTCATATTGCATTCAGTAGTGTCTCTATGTAGTATATAAATTATAAGTTTTGTTTCAGTACTTTTCCAACTAGATTTTGTGATCAGCCTTTCCACAATCGAACACGATATGATATGTGCAATTTCGGATTATATCGGGTTGGATTGTGACAATAACTATGTTATAAGAATTGTTCATTTAGTTATTATGCCTTATTAGTTAGCTCTAGCAGCTACTATTTAAGAAGTCGGATGTGGTGACTACTTAAGCAATGATGACTTAAGGCAAATTATTAATCAACTAATTGGCTACTCGACTATCATAGTACGTCAAACCGACAACTTCTTAAGAGGTTGTTTGGTTGGATTATTTTAGAATGTAAAGTATTTCAAAAATAGAAGTTTATAAATTTTGGTGTTTGGTTGGAATACAAAAGGATGCAAAGTAATTATAGTAAATGTAATGCAAAGTAAATTATAGTAAATGTAATGCAAAGTAAAGTAGTTCATTTTGAGTATAAATCAAACCCCTCTCACTTTTAAGTGAAAATCATTTACACCACAGTTTGCTTGACCACCACATGCCACCGTCGGCCGCCCTCCTTTGTTTGCACCACCACCGACCGCCACCACTACCGGCAGTTGTTGGCCACAGTTGCCCACTGGCCACCACCGACCGACATCGTCACTGACCATCTCTGCCCGTCATCTCCAGCCACTACCGCCACTGCCGCTCGTCGGCCGTCATCATTTAAGATTTTACTCTAAATTTACACCTTTAAACCAAACAATAAAAATCATTCACCTAAACCCTAAATCCAAAGTATTGATTTTACTTTTCACCAAATCAAATAGCCCCTAAGAATATTTAGCCAATTTTCTATATGGTAAAGTAAGTAGCCAATTATTCTCATTTAAAATGGGTGTGATTCATAAATAATTATGAATTCAAGATAATAAATGGTTTAATCACATATATTTTTTTATGAAAGATGACATTTGCTTGAATTATTGTTGGGTAGATTTTTTAAGCAATCTTTGGGCATTTGAAGTGATTTTTATAGCCTTTGCTTTGAAACAAATTGATCCAAGTTGAAGATGCCTTTTCGTAATTTGGTATGAAAGGGAAAATGATTATTGTATTAATGGAATGCCAACGACTTCCAACTCTATTCTTGACTTTGTGAATGCAGTTACGTTTGTTTGAATGATTTTTTTTTTTTTTTGGGTGATAAAAAAATAACCAAAATAATTGAAGACGAGAGTCAATAGAGAGAGAGATAATGGAGAGAAAAAGATGGATGGAAAATTTTTATTAAAACGAGCTTAAATTTTATTAAGACTATATACATAAATAATGTATATTATATCTATTTTAAAATAAATTCAATATATTTTTTTAAATGCAATCAGATGACTAATGCAATTCATATTTGATATCGGGACAATTTTTATTCTCCAAAACTCCTCCTCACCCATTCCTTAATGTAAGTAAGCCTAATCCTCTCCTGGATTTAACTTTATCCCGTTGATTCAAGCTTGCCTAGCTTCATTTATGTAGACAAATGATGGCCACTCTTAACACTTCCATATACTATTAAATCGTTACCCAAGGATGATAAATAACATACTTTGAACTTTTTTTCTTTAATTGACAGCTTCTTACTGTGTTTTTTAAAGCAACTTTTTAATGCAAAAATTTACTTAAAAACTCATTTAACCCAAAGGAAGCTAAGTAAAACATTAACTAATCTTCATCATCATCAGACACAAACATCTTTCTTCGCCGCAGAGACTCGAGTACATTAGCTTGCTGAACACCAGCTCCATTGCTGACTCGACCATCACCACTAGTCCTAACCCTAGGCATGCTCTTTGATGGTATCAGCGTCCTCCTCATGCTCATGCTCTGGTTAGCTTCCCTGAGCACAGACTTAGCTGTGACCCTCGCGGCTGCATCAGCTACTGCCAAACCAATCTTGCCGCCACTCCCCAGCTTCTCAGACAGCTTTGCAAAGACGCCGCTACCTGATACAACCCTGTTGGCAGGTGACGAAAAGGTCTGATATTGCTGAGCATTGGCGGCCATGGCCTCTGCAACTGTGGATTTGGCCTTGGCGGCCTCGTACTTCTCCATGTCATAGATGAGCTCCTTCTGGAGCTGTTTATCGGCGACCAGAATCTCATCAATTTCATTCTTGTAGTCCTTGAGAAGCACGCGGAGGCAATCCATAAGGCTGCCCATTAGAGGACTGTTCTTGTTTTCAAGAAGCCGTTTCAGCTCAATAAATATTGGAACGGCATGCTGGACAAGGTTCTTCTTGGCAACGTGGGTGACTACTCTACCTTTCGCAGCAAGAACTGTAGCTCCGGCGCTTCCGGCAGGGTCTCCGCCATCATCATCCATCTCGGCAGTGTCAGAGGCTTTGCCTGATTGGATTCGCATCTCTTTGCAAGCCAAAATGTGTAAACAGTCCTATCAAATGATGAAGTATGAGCATTTGAATGTTACAGCGTGGAGAAATTTCAAGAAGGTTACTCCTGATTCATGTTCTAGTTTTCCATCATCAATGGGGTTAGCAGCATTAGAAAGCAATCACTAACAAAAAAATACAGAGCAGGTTTTTAGATGAAGTGTAAAGTCTAGGTCTTAAGAAACCTTTTCAAATGTAATGATTTCAAATTCACATACAAAAAGGTAAACCAAAATTATCATTTTTTAAACATGTTTTCTATCTGCAAGCAACCAAATGAGCCAATGATAGTTGGTTGCCCAAGTCACGAGTTAATTTAAAAAATAATAATATATTTGTGATAAGGAGAAGGAATATTAGCATCTCAGATGGGAAATTTATTAGAAATTATAGGAGGCATCTATGACATGGAAATTTATCATCAACCAAATGAGCCATACCTGCACAACAGATTGTCCGGTTACATCATCAATACTAAGCAACCCATCTGAAGCAGCTGCCAAGATCTCTGCACATAACTTAGCTGAGGTAGCTAAAAGATGCTCTGGTGCCATTTGTTTTAACAAAGAAACATATATGTGCATCCGCTGTGATCTTGCTTTTTCATCTTTGCCACTGCAGCAAACAACACTATCAGAAGGATTCCAAAATCCAAAAGAAGAAGAGTGAAAGATTAGTAAGCAGGCTTGGATGGCACCGTATCTGCATTATTAGATACCTTAATGTGAAAAGCTGAGATCCTTTTTCAGAAGCCTCGCTTAGTCCAGAATAAGCATTACAACCATTAAGAAAAAATATAGCTTCTATAAAACTGTTATATGCAAGAAGTGGTGCCTTAACTGCATAAAAATAACAATAAGCAAAAATGCTCTAGACTGGTAAAAAAGGTGGTAAAGTGAACAGCACAATTGAGATTTTATTCACCTTTAAGAATGTTCCCAAACAAATAGTCTGCAAGGCTCCTTATCTTCTCAGAATCATCAACAAGTGACAATAGGAATCTTAGGAATAGAACACCTCTCCACTTCACGTAGTCTCTCTGTACCAAAGCATGTTTTTATTGAGAGGTGACTAATCATTTAATGATTGAGTAGCAAACCTCTAAGTTTTAAGTGATCAGGAAAGACAGACCTGTAGTAATCTTGAAAGCAAGATGAATGTCTGTCTTCTCACAACTTCACAAGGATCACGCAATGTAGTAGTTATCTTTGGTATGTAACTGTCAATTCAAGCAGCATAAGAAAATTTTTGAGAAAGTAACTAAATAAAGGCCATATAACCACTATACTGTCCATGTACATTTGTTTCAAAATCAAATCACTCAGATGTTGCCTTTTACGCCAATGTATTGCTTATAAGTACCAAAAATACCAAGACAACCACTGTCACACTAAAAGGAGCAAATTTCACACAGTGATATAAAGAAATTATATTGGAATAATAAAAAAATTGTATTGCAGTAAAACATGTAGAGAGCATTTGAACACAAGGGTAAAGCTTGGTAAAAGATAAGTGGAAGCCGGGACCAATCAATGGGTGGCCAGGTGGATGGGATAAGTTTAGGGAGAAATCAAGCCAAAATTAAGGTCCAATCCACCACAAGCGAGAACAAATGATTAGCTCCTTTATGATTCATAGTGGCATTATTGATTTGAAGATAAGGGGTTTAAGTTTAGTTGCACATACATGGTCAACAATTTCAATGAATTTAGGTTCATACAAATCAATCAATAATATTCGAGAACAAACTATATCATGTTAATGATAAATTTAAATGTTTTGGCACAATTAAATAGAAAAATAGAGATTAAGCCTCCGTTTGGGACGGCTTTTTTTTTTTTTGCTTCTTAAAGTAGCTTTCTAGTATAAAAATTAAAAATTTTATACTAAAAAGTAACTTTAAGAAGCAATAAGAAGCTGTAAAACCCGCAAAATACTGTTTTAGACATCGCACGTTTTTCAAAGCACCGCGATGAGTTTTAAGTGAAAAATTTAAGGTTGTCGGTTTTCGACGGGAATATTTTTACAAAATTCTACGCAAAATTCTAAGAAAATTGATATATAAAACTTATAGCTAATTTCGCCTAGATTTGAAATTAAAATTTAGGGAAATCTCATAATACCTATTTACCCCTAGTGTTTATTTAAGCTTGAGATGTTTAAGTGAGGGCACATAAGCAATTATGCATTTAGGAGAGCTTTTCCATTCTAAATAGGGGACTGAATGGTTCGATCCCCATTTCCTTCATTTCGGCCGAACCGAACACAAGAGGGAGAAGGGGGCGCGGGTACGAGGTGCAAGCAACCAAATGAGCCAATGATAGTTGGTTGCCCAAGTCACGAGTTAATTTAAAAAATAATAATATATTTGTGATAAGGAGAAGGAATATTAGCATCTCAGATGGGAAATTTATTAGAAATTATAGGAGGCATCTATGACATGGAAATTTATCATCAACCAAATGAGCCATACCATTTCCCAGTTGAAAAAGTTGAGAGAGATATTTTGCTCTGCTAGGGTTTTGAGGTTTTCGCCCTAATCTGATTCTACGCCGACTCTTCGGCCAGGGGGCTTCTCCCCATGGCTGTAGATGAGTTCCCGCCTCTCGGTTCCTCCTCCGCTGCTGCAAATGACGTTCTTCCTCTTTGGAAGAACTTGCTTACTACCACTCCGCAAGTTTCTACAACTTTCTCTCACTCCCTCTCTTTTGTCCCCGCGCAAAATCTGACTGCTCAGTTCACCAGCGAGCAATTTGTAGCTGGAGCGCCTGAATGGTCCCTTTCACTCATCGGTTACTCGATTGGAAGGAGGCCTTTTTATGAAGCCCTGCTTTCGATGATCAAGAAGACTTGGTCACTCAAAGGTTCCCTCTCTCTTGACTATGGATGATGGATTCTTCTTGATTAAATTCACTGCTATCGAAGATTATGAGCTAGCTTGGACTGGCGGGCCGTGGTTTTTCTTCGGTAAGCCATTCATTCAGCAGAAATGGACGCCAGATTTCGTGCCTAAACGTGAGGAGTTCCCCTCCATCCCTTTATGGATAAAAATAATGAACTTGCCGCTATCTCTCTGGACACCCGAAGGTATCTCTAAACTTGCTAGTTGTATTGGTATTCCAATCGCTGTTGACGCTCTCACCGCGGCTAAGACTCGCCTCACCTTTGCGAGAATATGTGTCCAAGTCACCAATAACTCCCCTCTTCCTGAAGAAATTTTCTATTGTGTAGATGGTAAATCTACACCATTAAGAGTGCAATACGATTGGAAGCCTGAAAAATGCAGTCAATGCGGGTCTATAATGCATCCACCCACTCTCTGCCCCAAAGATCCAATTTTGAAGCCCCCAACCACCATAAAAACGAGAGGAAGGAGTTCCAGCCGCAAAGCTCGCCCTTCACCTCCACCTAGACTCAACATACCCAAACCTGTACCACACAAGCTTAATCAAAATAACCCTATAAATACTCTCTCAACCATCTTGCCCTTGCCGCAACAACCTAATCTTGGTACCCTCATACCGAACTTGAATTCACCTTCGGGTGACATCCAAGAGAATTCTGATACCACCCCTCAAAACCAAGAAATGCCCCTTATTAACACCAAAAACAAATTTCATGCTTTATGTGACCATGAAAATGGTGATGACATCCCTCCACATATTAACTCCCTAAACAATCCTACCCTTCGCTCTACTGTTAACACCAATCCTAATCTCAGTAGTCCCCCCCAAACCTCTCCCCGCAACTATCAGCCTAACATACCCAACTCATCCACAGAAACCTCCTCCTCCACATCTCAATCTACCAAAGCCCAGCACCCAAATACCCAAAACCAAAAACAGACTAGAGGCAAGCAAGCAAAAAAAGCCTCGACACCCAATTCAAAGTCCTAATGTCCCTCCCCAACATTGCAGCTTGGAATATCCGTGGGTTTAACAACCCGGACAAAGTTATGTGCTGCAAAAAACTAATACAAGCCCACAACCTTGACCTCCTCTGTATCCTTGAAGCTAAAATCACCCCTTCTAGCTTCTCTAATCTTTGGTTTCAATCCAACCACAAAATTTTCCACAACGAAGCCTCTTGTGATAATTCCAGTCACTCCAGCCCCGGTCGTATTTGGTTAAAATGGAATGTTGACACTATGTGCTTCACCCCTATTTCCATGTCTAACCAATTTATTCATGGCATTATAAAAGTTAACTCTACTTTTATTTGTGCTATTACTGTTGTGTATGCAAGCAATTCTCATGTGGAAAGACAAATTTTGTGGAACAACTTACAAGCTATTGCTGATACTATAAATTCCCCTTGGGCTATCCTAGAGGATTTCAATTGTTGCCGGACTGTGGATGAGAAAGCTGGTGGTTGTTCTCTTACTAGTTCTAGAATAGGAGACTTTAATCGTATGATTTTTAACGCTGGTTTGGAAGATCTCTCCTCTGTTGGTCATTTCTACACCTGGCACAATCAACAACAACTCAATCCCATACATATCAAGTTGGATAGGGTCTTGATCAATGACTGTTGGCTTTCAAAATTCCCCAACTCTTTCTACAAAGTTGGTGACCCGGACTGCTCAGACCATTCCCCTCTCCTTTTGGTCAATGCTAATGAGAACAAGAGAGGGCATAGGTTTCTTTTCAAAAACTACTGCACTAAATTCTCTGATTTCTGGAATTGTCTTGTGGAAGTGTTTGCTGCCCCCAACAAGAGCAGCCCTTTGAGTGCTTTCAATTATAAGCTTAAGTCTCTTAAGGATACCATCAAGCATAAAACTTGGTCCAATGCGAATTCCATCCAAACTGAAATTGACTCTCTCATGCTTCAGCAAAGCAATGTTATCAGCCAAATCCAAAGTAACCCTTTGGACCACCATCTCAATTGCAATCTCAAGACCATCAACTCTAAGCTAGCTTACTACCACACCACTCTTACTAGCTGGATCTTCCAACAAGCCAAAGTTAAATGGTTAACACACGGTGAGGATGACTTGAAATTCTTATATACTAAAATCAACATCTCAAATAACTACAAACGCATCAAGGAGATTTCAAATGACCAAGGTACTTATAACACCCACAGTGATATTGCTAAAGTCTTTATTCATCACTACAAAAATCTCTTTAATCCTACTGAGCCTGAATGCTTGAATATCACTTCTAATCTCATTCCTACTGGAACCGTGATTCCATCACACATGATTTCTTCCCTTATTGCACCTGTCACTATGGAGGAGATTAAAGCTATTGTTTTCTCTGGTAAGCCGAACACTGCTCCTGATCCAGACGGTTTCACTCTTGAATTTTATAGAGCTACTTGGAATGTTATCCACCCCCAACTGTGCAAAGCTGTCATGTCCTTCTTCAACACTGGTTTTATGCCCAATCAAGTAAAAGCCACAGCTATTGCTCTTATCCCTAAGCAGCCTCATGCCAATAATGTAAAAGACTATAGGCCTATTGCTTTATGTAATGCTATCTACAAAATCATTGCAAAAATTATAGCCAATAGGATGAAGGAAGTAATGCCATATATTATTCATCCTAGCCAAGGTGGATTCGTTCATAAAAGAATTATCTCGGATAATATCCTTCTAGCTGCTGATTTGCTTAGCCACTTCAATGTCAAAGCTAAACATAAGTTCTTTTGCGCCAAGTTTGATATTACAAAAGCTTTTGACACGGTCTCTAGAGAGTATCTTTACAAAAGGCTTGAAGCAAAAGGATTCCCTGAAATGTTCATCTCTTGGATCATTGCATGTACTTTTAATGTACATTTCTCAGTCTGCATAAATGGTGTGCTTGAGGGCTATTTCAACTCTTCTTCGGGCATTAGGCAGGGATGCCCGCTCTCTCCCTACCTCTTTTGCATAATTATGGATGGTCTTTCTACTAGTTTTGATTTGGCTGTTTCCAATAAAACTTTTACTGGTATTTCTGCTGATAACTGTGAGGTAACTCATCTTATGTTTGCTGACGATCTGCTTGTTTTTGGCTCTGCTACCACTGCTAATGCCCACACTCTCAATTCCATTCTTAAGAATTTTGCTTCTGTTACTGGACTGAAAGCCAACCCTCAAAAAAGCTCTATTTTGCTCTCCAAAAATTGTCCCATGGGTGTGGACAGTTGCTCTATCCTCAACGTTCAGCAATCTTTAAACCCCATCAAATATCTGGGAATGCCTATTTTTTACAAGAAGCTGAAGCTTAAAGATTTCCAGCCACTATTGGAAAAAATCTCTACTCAATTAGAGGGGTGGAAAGCAAAAACCTTATCTCTATCAGGAAGAATTCAATATATCAAGTTCACAATTTGCAACACCATTGCCTACTGGATTCGTGGATCTATCATGCCAAAAGGTGTTATCAAGCAGTTAAATCATATGTGCGCTCGTTTTACTTACTTTGGCAATATCACACAGAAAAAACTTTTTACAGTGTCTTGGAAAAACACCTGTAGCCCAAAATATAATGGGGGTTTGGGAATCCCGTCTATTGACTCTCTCTACCATCATTTCGCTTGCTCTGTCATTTGGAGGTTTCTAAATTCTAGCAGTCTCCTTTTTTGTTGGTGGAGAGCCAAATACTACTCCCTTTGGAACTTTAATTCAGCTAACAACGCTCATTATTGGAAATTCCTGTGTAAGATTGCTAGCTGTATTAAACACTGTATTTCTTTCTCTGTGTTCCCCAGTAGCAATCTTTCAGTTATCTGGGATCCTTGGTGTGGGGGGCACTCCATTGCTGAATTCCTGAAGATCTCTAACTCTCTACTCAACTACTCCAGTTTCTTTAGCTGGAAAGTCTCTTATATCATTCTTAGGGATACCTGGAACCTGCCTCTCACTTTTGATAACCATATCTCCTCTCTCATTAAGGCTGTTCCAATCAATTCTCAGGAGGAAAACCATTTCTGGGAGGGTAAGCAAAACCCTGTGTTTGTTGATTTTTCCAAGCAGTTCTTTAATCATTTGGGCAAGGTAAACTGGTACAAGTATGTTTGGTTCAAGCACCAAGCTCTTAGATACTCGGTGTATGTTTGGCTTGCATTTAAAGATGGATTAAAAACCTCTGATATTCTAGCCAAGCGTGGGATTAACACTTCGTGCAAGTGCTGCTTCTGTCAAGATGATATGGAAACCATCTCCCATCTCTTTTTCGAGTGCAAATTCACTTTTGAAGTTGCAAAATATTTTTTACCTTGGCTGAATGATCACCTTATGAGGCCAAACATGCATCAGCTATATAACTCTATATACGAGCAAAGGTTATTAGCCCATAACAGGAATTTCTATCTTCTAACTACATCTGCTATCATCTACTTCTTATGGAGAGCTAGAAACGAACGGATTTTTGGTGGTATTGTGGATAGTCAAACCACTGTGATAACAAAGATTAGAAAAGCTGTCTCTCTCAAAACCAATGGCTGGCACAACGTTTGATTCTCTGGTTCTGGGATCTGTTTTGATGCAGCCGATTTCTGCTTACTGTTATGCTTATGTCTTGACAATTTTGGGGTGCCTGCGAATTTTGTTGGATTGTCAGGTTGCCTGGGAGTTTATTTTTGAAAGGACAATGATGAATGCTGATCCCTATCAGCTCCCCCTTGGACGGTCTTCACGGCAACCAGGGGTCTTGCTCTCTTTATGTCCCTTTCGTGTTTTGACCCTTACCGAGCACAAAGAGCAAGCTGAGTCCTTTGAGGCTTTTCAGCCTCCAGTTTTACTGTTCTAAATTTTGATTGTATTTTGTTCCTTTTTAGAATTCATAATCCGTTTTTGTGGTGATTATGGATTATAATTTTGTCTTTTTTTTTACTTACTTGTAATCTCCTTTAAGCAATGAAATGGGCTATGCCCCTAAATTTCCCAAAAAAAAAAAAAAAAATGAGCCATACCTGCACAACAGATTGTCCGGTTACATCATCAATACTAAGCAACCCATCTGAAGCAGCTGCCAAGATCTCCGCACATAACTTAGCTGAGGTCGCTAAAAGATGCTCTGGTGCCATTTGTTTTAACAAAGAAACATATATGTGCATCCGCTGTGATCTTGCTTTTTCATCTTTGCCACTGCACCAAACAACACTATCAGAAGGATTTCAAAATCCAAAAAAAAAAAGAGTGAAAGATGAGTAAGCAGGCTTGGATGGCACCGTATCTGCATTATTAGATACCTTAATGTGAAAAGCTGAGATCCTTTTTCAGAAGCCTCGCTTAGTCCAGAATAAGCATTACAACCATTAAGAAAAAATATAGCTTCTATAAAACTGTTATATGCAAGAAGTGGTGCCTTAACTGCATAAAAATAACAATAAGCAAAAATGCACTAGACTGGTAACAAAGGTGGTAGAGTGAACAGCACAATTGAGATTATTCACCTTTAAGAATGTTCCCAAACAAATAGTCTGCAAGACTCCTTATCTTCTCAGAATCATCAACAAGTGACAATAGGAATCTTAGGAATAGAACACCTCTCCACTTCACGTAGTCTCTCTGTACCAATTATTGAGAGGTGACTAATCATTTAATGATTGAGTAGCAAACCTCTAAGTTTTAAGTGATCAGGGAAGACAGACCTGTAGTAATCTTGAAAGCAAGATGAATGTCTGTCTTCTCACAACTTCACAAGGATCACGCAATGTAGTAGTTATCTTTGGTATGTAACTGTCAATTCAAGCAGCATAAGAAAATTTTTGAGAAAGTAACTAAATAAAGGCCATATAACCACTATACTGTCCATGTACATTTGTTTCAAAATCAAATCACTCAGATGTTGCCTTTTACGCCAATGTATTGCTTATAAGTACCAAAAATACCAAGACAACCACTGTCACACTAAAAGGAGCAAATTTCACACAGTGATATAAAGAAATTATATTGGAATAATAAAAAAATTGTATTGCAGTAAAACATGTAGAGAGCATTTGAACACAAGGGTAAAGCTTGGTAAAAGATAAGTGGAAGCCGGGACCAATCAATGGGTGGCCAGTTGGATGGGATAAGTTTAGGGAGAATTCAAGCCAAACTTAAGGTCCAATCCACCACAAGAGAGAACAAATGATTAGCTCCTTTATGATTGATAGCGGCATTATTGATATGAAGATAAGGGGTTTAAGTTTAGTAGCACATACATGGTCAACAATTTCAATGAATTTAGGTTCATACAAATCAACCAATAATATCCGAGAACAAACTATATCATGTTAATGATAAAAATGTTTTGGCACAATTAAATAGAAAAATAGAGATTAAGCCTCCGTTTGGGACGGCTTTCTTTTTGCTTCTTAAAGTAGCTTTCTAGTATAAAAATTAAAAATTTTATACTAAAAAGTTACTTTAAGAAGCAATAAGAAGCTGTAAAACCCGCAAAATACTGTTTTAGACATCGCACGTTTTTCAAAGCACCGCGATGAGTTTTAAGTGAAAAATTTAAGGTTGTCGGTTTTCGACGGGAATATTTTTACAAAATTCTACGCAAAATTCTAAGAAAATTGATATATAAAACTTATAGCTAATTTCGCCTAGATTTGAAATTAAAATTTAGGGAAATCTCATAATACCTATTTACCCCTAGTGTTTATTTAAGCTTGAGATGTTTAAGTGAGGGCACATAAGCAATCATGCATTTAGGAGAGCTTTTCCATTCTAAATAGGGGACTGAATGGTTCGATCCCCATTTCCTTCATTTCGGCCGAACCGAACACAAGAGGGAGAAGGGGGCGCAGGTAGGAGGCGATTCCGGCAAGTCTAGGAGCGGTTTCCGACGGCCGTTCATGGAGGGAATCGTAGGGAAATCCAAGGGAAGGCTAAGGTAAAATGTTTGCTTGAGTTTTCTCCTTCTTTCCTTGAGTTTTCTCTAAAGGAATGAAATTAGGGTTTTAGAAAAGCTTGATTTTTCTTTAAGATTCCTTTGAGAAAAGTTTAGGAAAGAGTTAAGGGATGTTTTTAAACCCTAATGTGAGTTGTTTTTATGAAAAATGTGAATTTTGGAAATTAGGGTTTTACTTAAAATCTATGATGCTCAGACATGGACACGGCGACACGGATACGACACGACACGGACACGGGACACATCAGTTATTGAAAATATAGGACACGGACACGGGTTTGACACGTTATTATAGTTTTTATATTTGAAAAATAGTATATAAAAATTAAATAAGTATAATTTTAAAAATAATTTGAAAATAATAAGTCATTTAATTAGAATTTGTGCTTTAAATGATTAGTATTAGGATGTCAAGAGTCAAGCGTCGATGTCGTATTGCCGTTTATCAGTCACCGAGAGGGGAGATGAAAATACCTTCACTGCCAAAAAGAAATGAAAATGAGAAAATTTGAGTATTAAGTGCATCCGTTGATTTGGTGTTGTGGATAGGAAATAAGCAATTTATTTTAAATCCCGCCAAATACAATAAATTATATTTAAAAAAAAATCATAAAAATTTAAGATAACGCGTGTCCAATTTGTTTTTAATATTTATTAATTGGACATGTTTTCGGCGTGTCCGACACGTGTCGGAGGAGTGTCGTGCGAGTGTCGTGTCGGACACTGCACGCCTCTTTGAGGAGAAGTGTCGGTGCATCATAGCTTAAAATTATTCTTCTTTGGAAATGCCTTCACAAAAGATGTTTCTAACGACATAGGAAAGTTTTTATGGGAAAACATTGTAAGGTTGATGCAAGTTTTTGAGTTTTGAAATTTAGGATTTCCCTAATTAAGGAAATTTTTATCCTCATGGTTCTAATGGGCTTTTGGAAGGATTTTAGAGACTATTGTAGGGCTTTTTCATGTAATGCAAGTTTTTATAATTTTTGTTACTTATGTTTTTTGTGTATGGCTCTTCTAGATATTAACCGTGTGGAAGGAAATGATTTGACCGGACAAACGAAAGAGGTGAACGAGTTGAGGTAGGTGGAATGGACATTCTTCTAAATTTAGAAAACTCTTCTTTCATGTAAATACATATAAATGACAATTTCTTTTATGCTCATTATGATATTCTTATGACTCATGTTCCCTTGTATAAGTTCATGGACACTTGAGCAAATGTAAAGGTTTCTTTTATGCAATTTTATAACTCATGAATGATTCTCATGCTCTTTTCTTTATATGTACTACACTTATCATTCATTTACATGCAAATGAGCACATGAGCATAGCAAACATGTATATCATTATGAAAGCATACATTTGAATAGTTTACTAAAGCATCTCTTATGAATATGTAAGTATTAAATGTATGTGCATGTTGTCGCGAAAGTATCAAATGGTAAAGGAGGCTCTTATGAGCCATCATAAATGATGGTTCTTATGAACCAATGGTAAAGGAATGGCCAATTTTATGTACCTGATCAATACAAGTGATACTTCCGAGACAGGTGTTATATTTACATATTAAGCTATTATGAATATTTCATATTCATGTTATATGCATTTGAGACTATCATTTGAGGCATAATGTTTTAAAAGGAAGAATGGAAATATTATGAAAGGAATAAGAACTTGAAGGTTGAGGTAAAAGCATGCATCTCCTTGAACAAAAGTTGTTATATGTTGATGATTCTTTTGTTAAAATACCAAAGCATGTTATAGTTTTCTTCTCTTAACTCTAAATTTAATTGAATTGCATTTGCACCTATTGAGTTGTGACTCACCCATGTTGTGGGACACTTTTTAGGAGGATCGGGTAGAAGATAGATGGCGGATAGACCTCCCCTCACGTGCTGTCATAAGGAGACGACGGACGACAGGTTTTGTTATGCTATTTTTGATGTTTTGAATAGAAGGTTTAGAGAAGATATGTAAGGAATTGACTTTTTGGACATCATTCACTTTTTGTAGACTTTATGTTAAATCTTTATGTTGATGTGTTTAAATGGAAGAAATGAAAGTTTTTATTTGGAGACTCATTAGTGGCTCTTTCATTATGTTTGGTTCATATTTGGAGATATGTTAATTGAGTAATGTAAAGGTTTTTATTAATTGTTCATGTCCGACCTTCGTTCCCGCCTCGCACTTGCGAGCTAATCGGGCCGGGTCGTGACAGAAGCCGTCCCAAACAAAGTCTAAGAGTATGATAAATCTTGTATAATTAATACGAAATGGCTAAATGGTTAGGTATCTTTAGTGTAGTATATGATAAAAGAATATAAGAGAGCCTAGGAGGAAAATTTTAAAAATTGCCAAAAACGAGCTTGGAGTATGGATCCAATCGTTGAATAACAAATAAATCAATATTAAATGTTTGACCAAAATGCAAAGGATAAAAGGACTAATGTGAAATGGGGTGGATAAATTATTAGAAAGACTGTTGTAGTGTTATAAATTGAGAACACTAACAGAAAATTTGCTTGCTATTTAAACTTGTATAAAGGAGAGCAAAAGAAATATCACAAAAAGCAAGTAGATCAAACCAATATAAAAGTGACATGAATAAATGGGAGAACCAAACACATAATTGGCTAGAATCTTGAGCAAATATTTGGGAAACAAAAGTTAGTATCACATGCAAAACTCTCATTAATAAATAAAGAATAATCTGTAAAGATAAACATAAATAGTAACACAGATTAATGATGAAAATGATATTAAAATTTAATTTATAGATTAAATATAATAAAGTTTACTAATAAATTTAGGTGTTTGGATTGTACAATAAAGTATAGAAAATGCACATATTAGTTGAGTTAATAAAACGGGAGACTTAAACCCATAATGATAAAAGTTATTTAAAATGATTTGCAAAAAATAGGTTTAGTGCCTCAAGTAACACCCAACAAAAACGAATAAAATTTGAGAATTCATAAAGTTGATCCCAAATAACTGGGATTAGGCAAATGAAGATGATGATGATTATAATGATGATGATGATGATGCTATAACATTTAATTTAATATGTTTGATAAAGAACAAGGTTTTGTTTGAGATAGGATTAGAAAAGTTTGGCTAGCCCATTGAATGAGTTTTGCAGAAACTTGATTCACAAATTTTCTTAAAACACAATCTGGACTCCAAAATTTCTAACTTCGGTGTGTTGATATTTTTAGTGATTATGGGTTGATTTTTAAAAAACAGATTAAATATTAGACAAAAAATTGCAAGGAGATTTTTTCTCTCTAGTTGGGATTTCTCAATCTCATGCCCCTATGATTAATTATTCATTTTTATTATAAGAGAGAACCTTCTAATAAGGCTCCCCTCTAAACTCTAGGATGTTTTGCTTTTAGTAACAACAAATTGAAATGGGAAAATAATATAACACAGTTATTTCGAATCAAGTAATAGGAAAATGATGACAAACCTCATAAAAATTCTATAATTTTGTTATATTGGGTTGTCATAGACTCTATTCTACTTGATCAAAATAGGTAGTTAAAACCTGACTAGAAAATCTTTGATGGGAATCATGGGTTTTGCATCCAAGAGGACCACATAGACTTGGGGCAAAAGCTCACTAAAGGGATCAATTTTAAGCCGACCTTAGCAAAGTGAGGAACTACACATTTCAAAAAGGAACTACACATTGGATGGAAATAAGGAACCATATCTGATACTTTATATTTTCTAGAATTTTAGCTATTTACATGATTTATATTGGGTGGAAATAAGGAACTACACATTTTAATACAAACTAAGAAGGCCTAAGGTGCAAAATATGGTT